ACTCATTCATGCACTCATTGACTCATCCATGCTCTCACTAACTCATTCATGCACTCACTGCCTCAACCATGCTCTCACTAACTCATTCATGCACTCATTGACTCATCCATGCACTCATTGACTCATCCATGCTCTCACTAACTCATTCATGCACTCACTGACTCATTCATGCACTCATTGACTCATCCATGCTCTCACTAACTCATTCATGCACTCACTGCCTCATCCATGCTCTCACTAACTCATTCATGCACTCACTGCCTCATCCATGCTCTCACTAACTCATTCATGCACTCACTGACTCATTCATGCTCTCACTAACTCATTCATGCACTCACTGCCTCATCCATGCTCTCACTAACTCATTCATGTACTCACTAACTCATTCATGTACTCACTGACTTATTCCTGCACTCACTGACTCAGTGATGCACTTACTGACTCATTCAGGCACTCACTGAATCATTCATGCACTCACTGACTCATTCAGGTACTTATTGACTCATTCATGTACTGACTCATTCATGTACTCACTGACTCATCCATGCTCCCATTGGACCATTCATGCACTCACTGACTCATTCATGCACTCACTGACTCATTCATGCACTCACTGACTCATCCATGCTCCCATTGGACCCATTCATGCACTCACTGACTCATTCATGCACTCACTAACTCATTCATGCACTCACTGACTCATTCATGTACTCACTGACTCATTCATGCACTCACTGACTCATTCATGCACTTATTGACTCATTCATGCACTCACTGGCTCATTCTGTCACTCACTAACTCAGGCTCTGCCATGTTCAATCATGCACGCGCACTCAGAGTCAGTTTCTTTCACTCATATCACTCATATCATGGTTTTCTTCATTTTGGATTTGTGTTCATGTATAATAATGTGTATGTTGTGTTTGTTTGTATGTGACGCAGTATGTTCTGTGATTTTATAAAACCCATTCATTGTACGTTGGTTTTGTACCGTTGTATAGAAGTATGTCTTCATTTTATTGATCGACCATACATAATGAAGGAAATAAAATCTAATAATTTCCCAAAACGACATCAACGTGAAACTAACCGATAACGCTGTCCCACTCCACCTGAGACGTATCGATGAAGACTTCCGGCTCACTGTCTGTTACCAGCTAACCACCGCTTGTGTCCCCAGATACGGCGTATATGTAGTTGGAGGCGTATGCACCTGATTACTATTGATATGTGAGACTCATTCCATTTGTCAATTAATTTCTTGACATGTGTATTGATGATTGATGTCGTAAGCCGTAGAATGTCGATTAGTAAACATAATCTGTAACCCAGGTACTTGGTATTCTTTCTGTTGTAGCTCACCTGGCATGGTGTATCTAACATGCGCTCTTATATTTTTCATCCAATTTCAAAATATGGCCATTACAGCAGTCAGAATGGAATGACACTAGTCCCTATGACCTAGTTATTGCTTTATGCATGTTTGTAAAATTGGATATGCAGTAAGCATGTGTTACGTGGTATATAACATGTTATATGTAGTCTGGTCCAGTGGTAGAGCGTCCGCCCGGGGAGCGGAAGGTCCAGGGTTCGATCCCCGACCGCGTCATACCAAAAGACGTTAAAAGATGGTACTGGTTGTTACCCTGTCTGGCGCTCGCCATTAAGGGGCTAAAACAAGGACTGGTCGGCTCGGAGTCAGTATACTTTGTCTGAGTGGGGTATTCATGTTAAACTGCGGCATGGTATCTCAGTGAGCTAGCACTATAAATCGGCATCAGTCCGGACTGGCACAAGCAGCCACACAAACACACACACGTACATGCACGTCGCTATATAAGTGCAATAATCTTGGACGCGACGTTAAACCCCATTTCACCTCACCTCACCTCCTGCCATTGCCTATCCTGTTATGACGTTTGACGTTCATATAAACTGCCGGGCAAAAGAAAATATGCACCCATGTGTGACGGTGGCTGAAATGAAACTGAAATGTAAAATATGTAAAAAATATGTAAAATTATTCTGTGTTAATGTATAAATTCAACACATGTCAGAATCAAATGTAGAGATGTGTTTGTTTGCATTGTGTCCAACGCGTATTCGGTAGACAAGGCCATGACAGCATATTATTTTATTGTGTCAAAAACTGTTCCCTAATTTCCATCACATAGTTGTGTTTTGGAGCTTAATTTGCAATGTTTTGGCGACTGTTTTCAGCCAAGTAACGTTTTGATAATAAAATCCAATTTTCAAGTGTATGGTTTCTTTTCCCGGGAGTTTATTGATACCGCAATTTGGAAATCCCCTCGACGTCATTGGGATAAGGAACCTGAAGCCTATCCTGTGTATGTGGTGTCGGGCTCATACATACTTTAAGAACGATCTCATGAATGTTATAAACAAACGCAGGGCTATATCAGGGCTATGAGTGAGTGAGTGAGTATGGTTTTACGCTGTTTTAGCAATATTCCAGCAATATCACGGCGGGGGACACCAGAAATGGGCTTCACACAATGTACCCATGTCGGGAATCGAACCCGGGTCTTCGGCGTGATGTATATGAGCGAACGCTTTAACCACTAGGCTACCCGACCGCCCCTCAGGGCTATGAATGGTAAATGGCTTCATTCGACAAATACCCAGATGTTAATTGAGACTACAGGTCAGTCAAACCTCTGGACAGGTATTGATCATACAATTTGTGTTGACAATGGCCCGCTTTGCAAGTGGTTGTAAGTGTGTTACGCACCTGCCCATCCTCACAACCAGGCTTGAGTGAAGGGGTGACATCGTATATGGCCGTTGCTGAGGTGGTTCGATTAAACGTTCCTCAGTCGTGGAGTTACTTCACATGAATGAGGCCGCCTCCGTGGTCTTGTGGTAGAGCGTCCGCCCGGAGAGCGGAAGGTCCAGGGTTCGATCCGGGGCCGCGTCATACAAAAAGACGTTAAAAGATGGTACTTGTTGTTACCCTGTCTGGCGCTCGGCATTAAGGGGCTAAAACAAGGACTGGTCGGCTCGGAGTCAGTATACTGTGTCTGAGTGGGGTATTCATGTTAAACTGCGGCATGGTATCTCAGTGAGCTAGCACTATAAATCGGCATCAGTCCGGACTAGTACAAGCAGCCACACACACACATACACGTGCATGCACGTCGCTATATAAGTGCAATAATCTTGGACGCGACGTTTAACCCAATTTCACCTCACCTCACATGAATAATCTGGGTATGTTTGGTTCATGTGTTGCATCATAAAGTCTACACCATGGGGGTATTTTTGTATCGATCGCGATGTGACGGGTATCCGTATGTCAGCGAGTTTGGTTTCGCTTTGAGCAGTATTTTAGTTATATCTTATATCTAAGTGTAGTCTTTATGTGAAAGCCCAGAATGAAGTAGGTCGCTAACGTTTACTATTAAAGTGAAACCGAATCTGGGATTCGAACCCACGATCTGCGGATCCTGACACGACTTAGGGACGCAACGTACTAATTATGATTCATATCGTTATAATTGTCAACATGATTAAGAATAACCATGAGGATAATATAAGAACGATGGTATTAAAGTTGATTATATTTCCTTTAAATATTGATGATAATGATAATGATGAGAGTCATGAAACCATGGCTAATGATGGTGTTATAAAATGGTAATGATTAACATAGCCGTGTATGAAGTGAAATACTCGCCTGCTTGTGTTCACTGTGCGAGTGAGTGAGTTGGATTTAACGCCGCTTTGAACAGTATTCCAGTTATATCGCGGCGTGTCATCTTACTGTGGGAGGAAAGCCCGAACTGATGCAGGTCTCAGACGTTTACTTCTTTGGTAAAACCGACGAGCACGGGTATGGTGCTGACAAACCTAGAAACATAATCGGGTCGAAACGGGATTCGAATCAACAATCATAGATTTCTGGCGTGTCCAAGGGACGCAGCTCTGCTCAGCAAATTGCGGCGCAAAAGACAACTGGGCCACCCGCGCCCCATTCACTACGGGATAACATATTTCCATATTTTGTTGATCACTGTGCAAGAACCGAGCAATTCTAATGTTTTGGTGGTTGCATCGACATTGTTTTACTACTATGGAATTATAGAAGGAACATTGTCGCCTTCAAAAACTAATCAGCAAATGACACAAAAATTGTCGTACTCTTTCTAAAGAGTTTTTTACACATTTTTAAAGCGAAAAGTATGATTCGACATGTTTTGACCTTAATAATGTGACGTTGTCGCATTCTAGCCCTTTTGTAAATAGCAGAAATATTACTTAAAGGGAGACAACGCGACAATTAGTCAAATTGTCGGATGTTGCAATTTCGCGCTTTGAATAAGTTTTGCTAGGTTTTGTCAGGGCGACAACGCGACAATGTCCCATCTGAGACACCATACTTTACCGACATTGACAGATTGATTTTCAAGCTTGATATTTTAATGCCTTCATATAACAGTTGATTAATTTGCAAACTATGCAGTAATGTTCCCCGGACTATATGCTGTATGCTTGGCAGCATCGTTCAAAAATGAACGCATACGTATTTTCGAGTGAGTGAGTGAGCTGGGTTTAACGCCGCTTTTAACAGTATTCCAGTTATATCACGGCGTGTCAGCTTAATGTGGGAGGAAAGCTCGAAGTGATGCAGGTCTCAGACGTTTACCACTCCGGTGAAACCGACGAGCACGAGTATTGTGCTGACAAACCTAGAAACATAATCGGTGCGAACCGGGATTCGAACCCACAATCATAGTTTTCTGGCGTGCCCAAGGGACGCGACTCTGCACAGCGAATCGCGGCGCCTTAGACGACTTGGCCACCCGTGCCCCCTACGTATTTTCGAAACGGCGGTCATGCGCATCAACGACCACTACCACATAAGATATTACCACATCACGATAGCGTGTCAGATACGTTCAGTATTACCCTGATCAATCGGTGCAATCGATTACTCTCGTGAGACGTTGATTAATAGGTTTTATCGGCAGTGAGGTGGAATGTCCTTGGAAACTCCAGTGCCGGTGGCAGTTCTCGACTTCGCCGAGGCATCAAGTATGTCTGTAAATTTGAGAAACATGTTTCAAATATTTTATGAGCATCCCATTAGATACATCCTGTGTACAGAAATAGCGCATGGTTTTAGCAACATGTAACTGATGGACTTGGCAATTACTTCACGGAACAGGTGTACCTGGTTGTCACCGACAACGAAATGCTCATTAATCATGACACGTGTACTTACGTCAGCTGTGATTACAGCTGTGGTGATATTGAGGCCGAATGTGTTTGTTTGTTTGTTGTTTAACGCCATATTCCAGCTATATGACGGCGGTCTGTAAATAATCGAGTCTGGACGAGACAATCCAGTGATTGACATCATGAGCATCGATCCAAGTAATTGGTATACGATGACATGCACCAACCAAGTCAGCGAGCCTGACCAACCGATCCCTTTAGTTGCCGCTTACGACAAGCATAGTCGCCTTTTACGGCAAGCATGGGTTGCTGAAGACCTATTTTACCCCGGGTCTTCACGGTGTTAGGCTGAATGTGACAACCCAAACAAATAACTGGTTAACTATGAATAGACTATGTACAGCTCTGTGTTGTTAAAGGTGCTCTCATAGAGCGCTGAGGCCAATACCCCCGACTTGTTTCCGTATTTAACATTGACATGAGTTCGGAAGGATGCTGACAAGGGGACGAGTTCAAGTAGCAGCCTGGTTTACATCACGTAGCTGAGAAGTAGTAGAAGAGGCGAAAGTGTGTGTGTGTGTGTGTGTGTGTGTGTGTGTGTGAGTGTGTGTGAGTGTGTGTGTGAGTGTGTGTGTGTGTGTGTGTGTGTGTGTGTGTGTGTGTGTGTGTGTGTGTGTGTGTGTGTGTGTGTGTGTGTGTGTGTGTGTGTGTGTGTGTGTGTGTGTGTGTGTGTGTTGTCGTTGTTGTTGGTGATGTTTTACTTTGCACTCAGCAGTATTCTAGCTATATGACGGGAGCCTGTTAATAATCGAGTCTTGACCAGACAATCCAGTGATTGATATTGTGGGAAACGATCTACACTGTCTGGGTACGATGATGCGCCCTCTACCAAGTCCCCGACCCTGACCACCAGGTCTACGAAGACGCCTCTCACGGCCAGCGTAGGTTGCTGGGTTCCGTTCGTCAAGAAACCCTTCCCTCCGGACATCCGATGTTGTGTACATGTATCAGCTGGATGTAGGAAAAGAGGCATGTGCGTGCGTGCGTGCGTGCGTGAGTGCGTGCGTGCGTGCGTGTGCGTGTGTGTGTGTTGCTTAACACCGCGCACAGCAATATTCAGCTGTATGACGGCGGCATGTAACTACACAAGTCGGACTATTCGGTCTGTTAAGTCGCCTCTTACGACCAGCAGAGGTTGCTAGGGATCAATTCTACCCGGAATCCCCACGGAAAACTAACAAGAAGAACTAGTTGTTGTTATACAGTAGTTTGAAACAGGTGCAGTAATAGTCAATACAGAAGCAGTGACGGTAGTAAAGGGAGTTGTCGAAAGAATTAATATACATTTAGCGACGGGCAAGGAAAACGGCGTTTTCTTTATTTGCAAATTTCCATCAGGAGAACAATGCTCAAACCATCCACCCATGGCCAACATCTACACACATACAGAAGATTTTGAAGCAGGCCATTGATAACATGGGACAGTGGGAAATGAGAATGGCCCGCCATCGTCCTACGGGTCTGGTGTGTGCGTGTGTGCGTGCGTGCGTGCGTGCGTGCGTGCGTGCGTGCGTGCGTGCGTGCGTGCTTAACGCCAGCTATGTAATACTCGTTTAGCAACGGACACAGAAGCTGGCGCAGTGAGAAGTCCACTGTGACTCACAACGCCCATCCGCCAGCAATCTTGAACATCCGCAGCTATAGATATACTTACATACTATCCGTGTCTTACACGATTGAGTCATTGAAGCGAAACGGGTAAAATGTATATTCACGATGACTCAGCATATATGTGTTATTCACATCTTGGGGCGCCGCAATTTACTGAGCGAGGATACATGTATTAATTAGGAGTGCCACAATTTTTCGCGATCGCGGGTCCTAGTTCCAAGTTGCCTTGGTTACGTTTCTAGGTTTGTCAGCACCATACCCGTGTTCATGGGGTGAAACGAAGTGGTAAACGTCTAACGCTTTTTTGAAACGGCCCCTGTGTAGATATTTAATGTATTCGTGACCATACACTCCACCTGTGTGTGTGGTTATATTTATAGCTGCCTCACGACATGTGAAGGCTGTATCTTTTTTCTTCTATTGACGCCGCCTTCACATTGAGCTGCGGGGCCAGGTACACTTACCTGTATCTATCCAGAATTGCTTACTCATGGTGATGTAGGCAATAAACCGTGTCCCTCTCTATCCAGGACATCGTGTGGCCGTATCACCACGGTTAAGTAGAGTTGTACTCAAACGCAAACTGGTCAATGTTATGTTATTGATATATATCGGACTTTTGAAATAATTATGATTGTATGGACTTTATATCTTCCCATGTGATAAGACCTTTGATAGTGTGCACAACAAACCTCTTCAGGAAACAGTCAGGTAGATTGATGTCGTTTTAATGAGTTTTGTAATTAAAATAAAGCAAAAGTCACATCTATCATTACTTTCCATTTTAAACCTATGTACATCTCGTATCGGTGATTAACATAACCAGACAGTTCACATAACATGTGTTTGGAATTAGGTTAATGTTTAAATTTTGTTAATAATTCAAACTTCAAATACTTTAATTTGATTAGAAAATCTATGGGGGTTAGTCCTTAAACCATATAGAAAATGGTATACGTTCAGAAAACGAGAGGTAATTAAGAACATGTACTACCTTGGTGTATATTTGACGTATCTGTATACAATACATAGTTACTCTAAACTGTACAGGTAAGTAATTATTGATCGAGTTGTGTTGGTGTACGTGCAATGTGCGTGTCAGGAAAATTAACGATCTCATTCATTATAAATTAAGAATATCACGGCAAGAAAATTACGTATAGATTACCCTTTGCCGGGTTCTTATTCTTGGCTGCGTTAGCGCGCCAATTCTTGTTTGTATCTAGTAGCAGTGCTAGTTCTATCAACGGCTGACTCAGAATGACTTTGCACAACGTCCATAACAATGAGACGACTCCATGAAGGTATCTAAACAATTAGGACATTTCCAGAGCAGAACATTTGAGGCCGAGATTATTTATCTGTTGGGTACTTTATTTATAACAAACAAAAGTCATTCCAAATATCATTCTTCCTAATCCTACTTTGGGATATAAAGAAAGCTTAGCTCGTCCATACTATTTCGATCTTGGGCCTACAGTGCTATAACTAGGCTGCAGGTGCACGCTGGTAGAAATAATGTCAAGGCGTGAATTATGGTTTGAAAACAATTGATATGAATATTGTTCCAGATTCGTGCCCTCCTCTGCTCGGCTCTGTGAGATGTGTCATGCACTGCCCTGGTCTTTCCTCCAGTGTGTCATGCTCTGCCCTGCTCTGCTCTGTCCTCCGATGTATCATGCTCTGCCCTGCCCTGCTCTGTCCTCCGATGTGGCATGTTCTGTCCTGCCCTGGTCTTTCCTCCGGTGTGGCATGCTCTGCCCTGCTCTGCTCTGTCCTCCGATGTGTCATGCTCTGCCCTGCTCTGCTCTGTCCTCAAATGTGTCATGCTCTGTCCTGCTCTGCTCTGTCCTCCCATGTATCATGCTCTGCCCTGCCCTGCTCTGTCCTCCGATGTGTCATGCTCTGCCCTGCTCTGCTCTGCCCTCGGATATGTGTCATGCTCTGCCCTGCTCTGCTCTGTCCTCCGATGTGTCATGCTCTGCCCTGTCCTCCCATGTATCATGCTCTGCCTTGCTCTGCTCTGTCCTCCGATGTATCATGCTCTGCCCTGCTCTGCTCTGCCCTCGGATATGTGTCATGCTCTGCCCTGCTCTGCTCTGTCCTCTGATATGTCATGCTCTGCCCTGCTCTGCTCTGTCCTCCAATGTGTCATGCTCTGTCCTGCTCTGCTCTGTCCTCCAATATGTCATGCTCTGTCCTGCTCTGCTCTGTCCTCCCATGTATCATGCTCTGCCCTGCCCTGCTCTGTCCTCCGATGTGTCATGCTCTGCCCTGCTCTGCTCTGCCCTCGGATATGTGTCATGCTCTGCCCTGCTCTGCTCTGTCCTCCGATGTGTCATGCTCTGCCCTGCTCTGCTCTGTCCTCCCATGTATCATGCTCTGCCCTGCCCTGCTCTGTCCTCCGATGTATCATGCTCTGCCCTGCTCTGCTCTGCCCTCGGATATGTGTCATGCTCTGCCCTGCTCTGCTCTGTCCTCCGATGTGTCATGATCTGCCCTGCTCTGCTCTGTCCTCCGATGTGTCATGCACTGCCCTGCTCTGCTCTGCTTTGTCCTCCGATGTGTCATGCTCTGCCCTGCTCTGCTCTGTCCTCCGATGTGTCATGCTCTGCTCTGTACTCCGATGTATCATGCTCTGCCATGCTCTGCTCTGTCCTCCGATGTACCATGCTCTGCCTTGCTCTGCTCTGTCCTCCGATGTGTCATGCTCTGCACTGCCCTGGTCTGTCCTCCGATGTGTCATGCTCTGCCCGGCTCTGGTCTGTCCTCCGATGTGTCATGCTCTGCCCTGCTCTGCTCTGTCCTGCGATGTGTCATGCTCTGCCCTGCTCTGCTCTGTCCTTCGATGTGTCATGCTCTGCACTGCCCTGGTCTGTCCTCCGATGTGTCACGCTCTGCCTTGCTCTGCTCTGTCCTCCGATGTGTCATGCACTGCCCTGCCTTGCTCTGCTTTGTCCTCCGATGTGTCATGCTCTGCCCTGCTCTGCTCTGTCCTCCGATGTGTCATGCTCTGCTCTGTACTCCGATGTATCATGCTCTGCCATGCTCTGCACTGTCCTCCGATGTATCATGCTCTGCCTTGCTCTGCTCTGTCCTCCGATGTGTCATGCTCTGCACTGCCCTGGTCTGTCCTCCGATGTGTCATGCTCTGCCCGGCTCTGGTCTGTCCTCCGATGTGTCATGCTCTGCCCTGCTCTGCTCTGTCCTCCGATGTGTCATGCTCTGCACTGCCCTGGTCTGTCCTCCGATGTGTCATGCTCTGCCTTGCTCTGCTCTGTCCTCCAATGTGTCATGCTCTGCCCGGCTCTGCTGTGTCCTCCGATGTGTCATGCTCTGCTCTGTCCTCCGATGTGTCATGCACTGCCCTGCTCTGCATTGTCCTTCGATGTGTCATGCTCTGCACTGCCCTGGTCTGTCCTCCGATGTGTCATGCTCTGTCCTGTTCTGCTCTGTCCTCCGATGTGTCATGCTCTGCCCTGCTCTGCTCTGTCCTCCGATGTGTCATGCTCTGCACTGCCCTGGTCTTTCCTCCGATGTGTCATGCTCTGCCTTGCTCTGCTCTGTCCTCCGATGTGTCATGCTCTGCCCGGCTCTGCTGTGTCCTCCGATGTGTCATGCTCTGCCCTGCTCTGCTCTGTCCTCCGATGTGTCATGCACTGCCCTGCTCTACATTGTCCTTCGATGTGTCATGCTCTGCACTGCCCTGGTCTGTCCTCCGATGTGTCATGCTCTGCCTTGCTCTGCTCTGTCCTCCGATGTGTCATGATCTGTTCTGTCCTCCGATGTGTCATGCTCTGCACTGCTCTGCTCTGTCCTCCGATGTGTCATGCTCTGCCTTGCTCTGCTCTGTCCTCCGATGTGTCATGCTCTGTGCTGCTCTGCTCTGTCCTCCGATGTGTCATGCTCTGCCCTGCTCTGCTCTGTCCTCCGATGTGTCATGATCTGTTCTGTCCTCCGATGTGTCATGCTCTGCCCGGCCCTGGTCTGTCCTCCGATGTATCATGATCTGCTCTGTCCTCCGATGTGTCATGCTCTGCCCGGTCCTGGTCTGTCCTCCGATGTGTCATGCTCTGCCCGGCCCTGGTCTGTCCTCCGATGTGTCATGATCTGCTCTGTCCTCCGATGTGTCATGCTCTGCCCGGCCCTAGTCTGTCCTCCGATGTGTCATGATCTGTTCTGTCCTCCGATGTGTCATGCTCTGCCCGGCCCTGGTCTGTCCTCCGATGTGTCATGATCTGTTCTGTCCTCCGATGTGTCATGCTCTGCCCGGTCCTGGTCTGTCCTCCGATGTGTCATGATCTGCTCTGTCCTCCGATGTGTCATGCTCTGCCCGGCCCTGGTCTGTCCTCCGATGTGTCATGCTCTGCCCGGCCCTGGTCTGTCCTCCGATGTGTCATGCTCTGCCCGGCCCTGGTCTGTCCTCCGATGTGTCATGCTCTGCCCGGCCCTGGTCTGTCCTCCGATGTGTCATGATCTGGTCTGTCCTCCGATGTGTCATGCTCTGCCCGGCCCTGGTCTGTCCTCCGACGTCCAGCACTGCCCGGCTCTGCTCTGTCCTATATATATGTTACAGGAAACAAGTATAATCAGTGATTAAGTCTAATGACTGAAAATTTCAGTGATTATGTCTAATAACTGATTCACTCGGTGGTTATGTCTAATTACTGAAATCTTCAGTAATTAGACATAATCACTGAAATGAACCAAGGGATTTTATACTTGTTTACTGAAAGCATATCCCTGCCTTGTTTTTATAATGTGTGCTAGTTTTGAAATTAGATTAGCTATCAAAGTAAATACAACCTCCTGTAACCAGATACCTTACACAAAGATCACAGAAATAAGCTTAAACAGTTCAATCTTTTATTTCATAACATGGTATGACGTGAATGGTATGACGTGAATGGTATGACATGAATGGTATGACAAATAGCAGTCAGATGGACACTCAGGAATGTTTGTTTGCACATGAAAGACTTGAATGAAATCTAGAATTACATTGCATCTTGGCCTTAAAACATATGCAGCGATTGGTCTGACACCGTTTAGTTCCAACACAATTACACCTTACAAAACCTTGACCACCACAGACTGAGTCAAGTTGAACCGCTTGACGCAAAGAGAGTGTTCGATCGGTATTGAAATCGGTATTGAAACTGGACGAACTTAAGTCCTACAGTCCAATCACTGGTGTATTTTTCTCCAAGCCAAGCAACTAGAATGTCTTTAATGTCACAGTTCGCCCTCTCTACAGAACCTTGGCTTTGGGGATGTCGAGGCTTTCCGTTTGTTTACAGGAGATTGGCTAAGGACAGGACAGCCTTCTCACAAGTTATTATAAAAAGGCAGGGATATGCTTTCAGTAAACAAGTATAAAATCCCTTGGTTCATTTCAGTGATTATGTCTAATTACTGAAGATTTCAAAATTTGGATAAAACCACCGAGTGAATCAGTTATTAGACATAATCACTGAAATTTCCAGTTATTAGACTTAATCACTGATTTTACTTGTTTCCTGTAACATATACACATGTCAATGTATAGTCAAGTGGTTAAAGCATTCGTTCGTCCCGCCGAAGTCTGGGTTCGACTTCCAACAGGGGCCAGGTTGGTTGTGTTTCTGGAATAATCCCAAATAAACGACGTAAATGCCTATATTCACTCGTTTCCCGTCCCATCAGCAATTATTTAGAAATTCACATTTTTGTCTCAATGAACACAGAATAATGCCACGACGTCATACCCACACCTGCACTGGTTGTGTTTGTTTGTTTGTTGTTAAACGGCACACTCAGCAATATTTCACATATATGAAGGCGGTGTATTAATGAGAACCAGTGATTGACATCCTAAGCATCGATCTACGCAATTAGGAAACGATGACATGCATCAACCAAGTCAGCGACCAATTCCACAAGATCCCGTTTGTCGCTCCTTATTACAAACAATTCTAACCCGGATCAGCTGACAATATGAACCAATAACAAATAATAAGTAAAATAGTATCTTTCAATATTAATAACTAATGACACGACACGATGACATAACAGTTAATAAATACATATTGACATAACTGGGACGGTGGAGTACACTAATGTTTAAAAGACCGGGTTTGATTCCCCACATGGGTACAATGTGTGAAGTCCATTTCTGATGTCTCCTGCAGTGATATTGCTAGAATATTCAATTTGCTAAAATACACACTCAAAAACACCCACACCCACACACTCACTCACTCACTCACTCACTCTCACGGGTGGCCAAGTCGTCTAAGGCGCCGCGATTCGCTGTGCAGAGTTGCGTCCCTTGGGCACGCCTGAAACCTATGATTGTGGGTTCGAATCCCGGTTCGCCCCGATTATGTTTCTAGGTTTGTCAGCACCATACCCGTGCTCGCGGGTTTCACCGAAGTGATACACGTCTGAGACCTGCATCACTTCGAGCTTTCCTCCCACATCAAGCTGACACGCCGCGATATAATACTGTTAAAAGCGGCGTTAAACCCAACTCACTCACTCACACTCACTCTCATGGTGCACAAGAGTGGTCTGTTAGTTCGGGCGACCCATCTACGTTCAATCCCCCCACCACCACCGTTCAATCTCCCCTCATTATTAGTACATACACGAAAGACAATACTTCAAATCTACCCCCTCACTACATTTAGGCTTAACCAGGGACAGTATTATATTTCACATCCTGGTTTAAGCAAATATACATAATTGTCATTCGATATACAGGCATGACTATAAATTTATTTTTATCTTTTCCAGGCTAGCTTACATTTCTAAACTCAAATATTTTTGTAGGAGTGAATTTGTTCATCATCTGAAAAGATGTTACCATTACCATACAATATCCTTTACAAAGTTATCTCTCTAAGTTCAACTACGTACAATTGTTATATTCTTTCAAAATGTTTCAAAGCTTTGCTTGCTTTTTGCTGTGGCAAATCCGTGCCTCGCGCTTTTTATAAAAATCGATTTTCTCTTTGTGGTAATGGTGAGAGATATCGATTATATACAGCACTGCCGCATGTGAGTGAGTATGGCCACATTTACAACTCACTGATACAGGTGTGTTGATATTCGACCGATGTATCGTCCTGTTGTACGTTATCTACAAGCTTAACTAACAAGTTTCCCCATATTAGCCTTAATCTACAAAACATACACCACCTGAAGCATAGCCATCACTGCACTCTGTCCGCATGGAATGACGAACACGGTAGTCACTATGGTAACGCGTCACACAAACCGGCGGCCAGAAGGGGGCGTTGTTCATTCAGCTGTGACTTGCGCGGCAGACGACACTGCATCTGCCGAACTGTTTGACACGGAGGTGAGAGACGATCTGTTTCAGTGACCCAGCAGTGGTAGGATTACCCCAGCGCACCACAGCATGCATACAGACGTGACATGCGCACGGAACGGAGTTTCATTCACGTATGAATTGTGAAACATTGTCTATATGCTTCAACGTCCGTCGTTAGATCGCAGAGAAGGGTTGACAAGCACTGGATCACGGTCTCAGGAGAAATAGCGTGGCCATCGCCTGTCCCAGATTCGTCAGCACACACTGACCGGTAAAGTAAGTTTACTTGTGGATTTATGTTCTGACGTGTCTGTTGCAATGCGGAAGTCCTGGTTAACCATATGTTATCAGGTAGACGAATATCCACTCTTCCTCGTTCACATGCATGACCAGATTTTCTGCATCAATATCGGCCATGTGTTCATATAACCGGTTTATTATTTAAAGAGTTTGACTAGATACTCCCATGACTAAGCATCTGTAATCGACGTCTGGTGTAGCCCGAGTATGTACGCGACTGGTATTATGAATATGGTTAGCGAGTCTGTTATAAATGCATGATATTGCAGAAACTTAATTGCATGATGTATGTGACCTACTTATTTTAGACGTTGTATATATAAGCGTCGCGCAAGCTGACACATGATTACATATTAAACACTAACGTGTAATATTGTCAACTGGGTAAAGACAGACACTTGCTATATATGCTCAGAGAGGCGGTGGGGTAGCCTAGTGGTTAAAGCGTTCGCTAGCTCGTCACGTCAAAGACTCGGGGTCGATTCCCCACATGGGTACAATGTGTGAAATCCATTTCTGGTTCCCCCGCCTTGATAAAAGAGGCGTTAAGTCACACGCACTCCTATGCTCCAATGTCGGGTGGGGGCATGGGTGGCCCAGTCGTCTAAGGCGCTGCGATTCGCTGTGCAGAGTTGCGTCCCTTGAACACGCCTGAAACCTATGATTGTGGGTTCGAATCCCGGTTCGCCCCGATGGTTTCTAGGTTTGTCAGCACCATACCCGTGCTCGTGGGTTTCACCGAAGTGGTAAACGTCTGAGACCTGCATAACTTCGGGCTTTCTTCCCACATTAAGCTGACACGCCGTGATATAACTGGAATACTGTTAAAAGCGGCGTTAAACCAAACTCACTCACTCCAATGTCGGGTACCCATGTGCCTGGGTATAAGTATAACATCTGGGCCCCATATATGAAGCTGAAACATTGCATATTTATGATTATTGTTATCATTGACTGCTGGTTTGATAACCTTTGTAATATTTTAGTTACAGCAGAGTGGTGTTTCAAAAACTTCAATCAAACTTTCTTGGGCAGCCAATTTGTACGAACCATGCTTTCCATTGAGGTCACATCAACTAGAACCATTTGGAACTTATATGATGGATATGTAGGCTGCCTACACTGACTTACATTAAATATACCCCATTACGTTCACTAAGCTTCATGCGTGATAGATTACAATCGTACTTACTCGAAACACCGACCCATTCATTTCTCGTTTTATGTTAAATGTTCTCTGCATAAATATGAGGTATTATCAAGTAGGCCCTAACGTTTTATTGATTTCACTTCACTGAGATCACATCTACTTGTTTTAGGAATGCTTCGTTTGCGGTTATCTATCAATGATTGAGCCACAGGTACTAGTACATAATATAAATGAAAACTATTTCTGTTAACTGTTTTCGTTCCTCATAAAAGTGTGTTTTTCTATAATATGGAAGTATTAATAACATCAACTCTTTTTAAAAACTATTCATAGGACATTCATTATAATAATGTGAAGGCGGGGAAGGCAAGTGGTTAATGCTGTGGCACGTTACCTGGAAGATCCAGGATGGATTCCACACATGGATTCCAAGGGTGAAGTCTATTTATGGTGTCCCTGTCATTTTGGCACGAAAAATGTCGGTTCCAATATGTTTGTCCTATGCTAATGTAGCCGTTCCCAATATTTATGTACTATGATGATAAAACGGGGCCAATATGTATGTCCTATTGTAATTATAGCCGGTCACTATCTTCACGTACAATGATACATATAGCCGGTCACAATATGTATGTACTATTATAAATATAGCCGGTCACAATATTCATGTACTATTATAAATATAGCCGGTCACAATATTTATGTACTATTATAAATAGCCGTTCACAATATTCATGTACTATTATAAATAGCCGGTCACAATATTCATGTACTATGATACATATAGCCGGTTTTCAATATTTGTGAACTATTATAAATATAGCCGGTCACAATATTCATGTACTATTATAAATATAGCCGGTCACAATATTCATGTTCTATTATAAATATAGCCGGTCACAATATTCATGTTCTATTATAAATATAGCCGGTCACAATATTCATGTTCTATTATAAATATAGCCGGTCACAATATTCATGTTCTATTATAAATATAGACGGTCACAATATTCATGTACTATGATACACATAGCCGGTCCCAATATTTATGAAAGATGATACATATAGCCGGTCCCAATATGTATGTACTATTATAAATATAGCCGGTCCCATTATTCATGTACTATTATAAATAGAGCCGGTCACAATATTTATGTACGATGATTAATATAGCCGGTCCCAATATTTATGTACTATGATACATTTAGCCGGTCCCAATATTTATGTCCTATGATACATATAGCCGGTCCCAATATTTATGTCCTATAATAAGTATAGCCGGTTCCAATATTTAAGTTCTATAATTGATATAGCCGGTCACAATATTCGTGTACTATTATAAATATAGCCGGTCCCAATATTCATGTACTATGATACCTATAGCCGGTCCCAATGTTCACTACTATGATACATATAGCCGGTCACAATATTATCGGGGTCTCAAGCCGAATAGGAACCATGCATATTAACAGGGATTCACTATATAGATTTTTTTTCTGTCAAGAAGACATGAATATATATTTTACGACCTCGGAACAAGAGTGTTGTCTCACAGGTCTCAGTCAAACGTATGTTAATTCACAAAACCAACGGTGCAACAAAGACGGTAATAACAAAGTAAGATTCACGAACAAACAGAAAACCACACACCGGCAGTAAACAACGACACCGTATTTACGCTGACTATCGGGAGAACTTGAGCCCATAACTAAAAGGGACCGTATAATCAGTAACATGATAAATAACACATGTATTCTCGCTGTTCATATATACTATTTCACGTCAGTTGAGGAAGTTGCAGCGTTGCTTTTAATATCAATGACAAACCAGGGTGATTCACACTTAAGCCTGATAAAGCATTTTCTAAAAGGATTAAATAGGTGATAAGCAATTTTCGGCTGTTGAATAAACAGTCGCTATTACAATGTGTGTCAGCGTTCGTATCTGTTACAAACTGACAGTAACTCCACTAGCAGCTACTTTACAGGTCAAAACCGTTGGCATCAGTCTCTCAGGTTGTGTATCTGTAGGCAGTTTACTTGCCTAGGTCACGTAGCGTTGCCATCCAAGATCACATCACTGTATTTCGTCATGTGATACTGCTCCAGTCAAACCCCACCTCACTCTCATAGCGTGTTATTTAGTCAACACCTACCTACTTGGTAGAGGTCGTTCACGGCGGACTTTCCATGATTATAATATCAAAAGAGTATTTGAAAAATGACTATGCATCTCACGTTTCCATTCCGTGTGTGTTTCTTTGTCCTTCACCTTCGCGGTATCGGAGATGTAATCGTGACCTATTGTACTGACTCTATGGGGGGGTTATTTGATACTTCGGTGTAGCCAGCATCAGATATATTGTGTCAACACACATAGTTGTGTTTTGTTTGCTGTGTATACGGACCGCACTCAGCGATATTCCTGATATATGGCGGTGGATTGAAAATATTCGACTCTGGACCACGCAAACCAATGATTGATATTGTGAGCAACGATTGACGCCTTCTGGTAGGATGACACGATCAACCAAGTCACCGAGCCGGACCACCCGATCCATTTGATCGCTTCTTACAATAACAATGAGTTGCCGACTAGAAATGTCTAATTATAAAGTTGGTATGACAATTATCGGTAATGTTCAGCTGCCGACAACTAGCCTTATTTCCTTTTTTTTCCTTTTTTGCAAGTGTTGAACTTTTGACATCATTGAATCTTAAGTGTTGCTGAAATGAGCACATCTAAGTATGAGCATGTCCGTGACCCAAGATGAAGCTTTCACCACATGTAAATGTTTACACTGTGTTTATCTAAATCTCGTAAGAAAGTCAGCTTGGGTCAAAGACGAGCGTAGTCTGGCTCTTGTTCAAATATTTAAAAACGCCCAATGAAAACATCTGAAACCATCCAGGCAGACAGACAGACAGATTGTTTATTTGAGTCTCACCTCACAGAGATAATTACATAAATACATATAAAAGGACATCCATTTCTACACATTTTGCTGTTATCTTTACCGTAAGTGTACTCCAGATTCCCAAAACATGCTATTGTTCAAATGAAAAAAAAGAGGTTTTTATTCATATAATAATTACATAAATACATATAAAAGGACATCCATTTCTACACATTTAGTGTTATCTTTACCGTAAGTGTACTCCAGATTCCCAAAACATGTTATTGTTCAAATGAAAAAAAAAGGTTTTTATTCATATAATAATTACATAAATACATATAAAAGGACATTCATTTCTACACATTTTAGTGTTATCTTTACCGTAAGTATACTCCAGATTCCCAAAACATGCTATTATTCAAATGAAAAAAAATAGTTTTTATTCATATGAATGAATCTGATTACACTTTTACAACGATATATATTAGGTTTTCCTCATTTCTTCAATGATGCAATTCCCGCGCCACTTGGAATAAGTAGGTCACAGCAACCGAGTGCGAAATGGTCCTAAGTGGAACACTGTGGATGTCTGGCTATATATATCGGTGACAGTGTACCTCGACGGTACAAGATGTGACCACTTTAGCATAATTTAGCACTGTTCTACTCGCAGCCTTTATTCTGTTTATTCTGTTTCTCCAACCCATAACTGTTAACTCCTCCAATGCACGCTTCCAACCCCCCTCGTAACTCCTAAACACACGTGCACATTCCATATATACGCCCATGTGTTTGCTTGTGGTTTAACGCCGCACTCAACAATGTTCCACTTATATGACGGCGGTCTGTAGATAATCGAGTATAGACCCGACAATCCAGTGATTGACATTATATGTGCATCAAATTACGCAACTGGGATACGATGATGTG